TTCCTATTCTTCATCCCAATGGGCAGCCAAAAGACAGCAACCAAAACCGGCGCACGAAAGTGCATGGTTAGTGGTTGTTCAAACTGAACTGAACTGAAATTTGGTGCGGTATGTCACAACTTATTCACAACTAACCTTATTCTGTGAGGATATCCCTCTATCCACAACCCGGGGACGCGCCTGGTAGCATTCAGCTCTGCTTAACCCGGGGGTATCCACCCATTTGGTCTCCATAGTCTGACCAACTCACACCAGCCGCTCGAAATAAGCGGAAGCATTCAACAGCAAACACTAAACGCTAAACCGCTCAACAAGTGAGTTACCCCACATCGAGGGCATCGAAAAATACGGACGACGAGGCGTGCGGCATGCAACAACGGCCACAAGTGAGCAAATAGAAAATTCACCGCCTAATCCAACGGCTACAAAATAAACTCGTTCAACGAACAGGGAGGTGCAGATAACCATGTACGAAGACACTGTGGCATTGCAGTCCTCGTTTCGTTGTTTAACGGCTAGATGTGAGCCCTCGCAAAAGCCGAGTGACTCTAGATAAGTTATCTAACTGCAAAGAAAACAATGTACTACTTTCCGGAGAGCCGGAGACCAGGCATATAGGTCTAGGTACTGCCTGCATTTTTTATGATACACCTTGGTGTGTTGAACAGCAGATGGAGTAAAACCCATGACCACGAGGACCTGCTTTTAAGTGATGGAAGCCGGAAACCTAAGCCTCGGGACTTGGAGTTGCGAACCGTTTAAAGCCCTGTATTTCATGATAACACATTCGTTTTTTTACATTTTTCATTTTTACTTCCGTACAACACAGAAAATTGGGAAGTTAGACGGTGACGGTGGGATTCGAACACAGGTCCTTCGGGGTGATAATCCGACAATTTTATTACCGTGCTGCCACCGCCCAGAAGGAAAAGATCAAATAGTCAAGTTACAGAAGATTTTCGACAGATAAACGCTGCGTAAAACGAAAATTCTTCAAGCGGATACGGTATCTTCATGAAGGTCCATAAAGTCTGCATTCAGACGGTAATCGGCCGTCAAGAATGGCGTTAGCTTCCATTTGAGAGTAAGAATCAGCTCCAAAAGCTTGGGCTATACCAAATGTCCAGCTTATTCGTCAAGAAGGCAATGCAAAGAAATACGAAAACTGTCGTGGAGGCAGCAGTTCAGAGGAAAACTCACGTAACCGGCGAACTCCGGATCGTTCCCGTTCTTTCCGTCCAAACAGACCATGAGACTTCTGGAAGCAACTGGTGTATCTTGATTATACGACATTTTCCAAGACCAGTAATAATCCGGACAAGATTCCACACAGACCTGGAAAACAATACGCGACAGAGCGATGAGAGGAAATGAATATAAGTGACATGTAAACTGGAAACGGACTGTTTTTTTGATGATCAAGCTTACCTGAGGAGTAGGACAACCCACAATCATAACGACCGGAGCCAGCTTCAAGCATTGGGCAATATCAAAGAAATAGAGATAGGGTTTGCCCCTGAAGAGTGAAAAAGATCCAAGATCAAATCAAGCAGAGAAACAGTGTGAACGATGACAGTCATGTCGGGGGTATGCTAAATCACACAGCATTCGAACAAATACCCCGTGGTATTCGGTGTTCTTGGTTTTCTGTATAGTCTGAAGTTAAAATTGATGACCCGGTATGTAATCTATGAATGTTTATATAGATTAAACCTTGAAAAATTTGATCAAACTTTCGTACGAGTGCATGCCGGTTTATGCCCGATCTTTAGTGATCAAAGCCGAAGCTTGATCCGAAAGGCATTGATATGATGAATGAGAACCCATTATTCGTTAGGGACGGTGTAAAATCAGTAGGATCATTTGTTCTTGGAGCGTATTTCACACGCCTTGATGGTACTGCCCAATCTCGCGGGTGACTGCCATAACCATGATGTGTTGGAGCTACTTCGTACACTTTTTCTTGCAGGTTTTCAATCGAGGTTCTCAGTTCCCCAGTTGAGCTAGCTGCTAGTGGCTCATCAACTCGACTATATCCCCTGGATATAAGCTTTTCGCACTTTCAAATCAGAGAGGACAGTCGAAATAGAGTGAAATAACCTGGGATGATCACTGTTAAGCACACAATTCATATAAAAGTAACAAGAATGTGTGGTGGATAAGGAACAGATCTACTTAGATGGAGGGAAAACCATTACGGCCAATAAACAGTCTACAAAATCCAAATGGCATTAACGTATTTATACAAGCACTGTGACCGGAGAAAAATGACAAGAATACCATTGTTGTCGGTTTCCTGCCATGTTTCTCTGGGTCTTCCACAAACTAGTGATGGAGCCTTATGGACAACAGCTTGGAAGACGAGAAATACCTCAGTCTAATTGATCAGTGAAGTTATTCAGGCCTCGCATTTATCACGTCGGGACTACATCTTGACGTGGTACGAAGGCTCGCGTGCCCCCATGACCCGGTGAACTATACAGGATGACTCATTACGGATTCAGATAAAACCATACCAGAAAGATCAACACAACAGTTGTTTGGGCAACTTCTGATCTTCTCCGATCATCCACTCTGTTCTCTAGAGAGATCACTCAAACAAACAAAGTTCCGGCCACAAACACTCGCTAGGTGGACGTAGGGACAAGGTACCGCGGGCTTTCTGTCGACTGTGGGATAAGTATTCGCACTTGAGTGGTCAGCTGCCGCCCACTAAGCTGGGCAAACCGTAGTAAATAAGGTACTGGCCCTCCTGTTTCATTGGGCTAAGGGCCGATCCAGGACAGCGGGCCAATAATGAACACACAAGGGAACAGAACAATGAAAAGAAAGCTGCAAGACTTTTGCGATAGGTATCGGGAACCTCTCACGCCGACGTTGCAGTCACGCCCAACCGAGAATGGGTCAGACGTTAGAGTCAAAGGCTCTGGTTAAGGTTCTCAATGAAAACCCCATTTGTCGATCGGGAGTAGGTGTCTCGGGCTCATTTTCTGGTCAGTCGTTCCGAACTCCTCGGGCAACGCTCCCGAGCGACCAAATGTTTCAAATAGCTTCGCTGAGAGAGTTTTATCCACTACCTTCTCGTGGCAGAGGTGTTACCACTAAAGTGGAAGGACGAAGATGAATGCCCGGCGCTTCACACTAGCTCGACTGGACATTAGTAGTCAGTCTAGGATGTCTGGGTGGTGACCCACTGATCGGTACCCATCCAGTTTGGTGAAATGAGCAACGGACAACCAGAACCATCTGAAATGCTTTTTAGTTTGTGAGTTCATTGCAGCTTCGCTGAGGAGTGCTGGCAGGAAGTCAAATCACTAAGTTAGATGAAGATTAAGATTCGCGATCAACTGCCGAAAAACAGTTTGGAAGTAACTGGGGCTCCCACGCCAGGCATAAAGTGGTAATAACAGACTGTGCAATAAAAAGTGACTTATGTTACGTTGTTATGTATGCTATGACTTGTGTTAGCGCGATCATCACAAGTAAATCTATCAACAATGAAAAACAATCGGGGCAGATGCGACTCACGGTACGTCACGACCACAAACCAGACCGTGAGAGTTTGTAGGGTAGAGGACCCGACGATAGTCACCCATTGCAAAACCTGAAATGGAAAAATGCGATGGAACAAGTGAAACAGACACTGCATCCGCATCTGAAGTGACCGGGGGTCAAGTAGAATATTGATAAGACCTTCAATACTTGACGGGTATAGCATAGTGAGATCAAACTGATGCAGTGAAATGCACCACATTCAAAAGATTAATGGATATACCATCATGGAGATTCTGAGTTCAGGCCCTATCACGGTCGCCCATTTTCCCACCAACTGTATTTCCCCAGTCAGTCTCTTTATGGCTACAGCCCTCTTTCCTGAAAGGTTACTGTTTCAGTTTTCAGTTTGTACAACCATTAACCATGCACTATCGTGCAACCGGTTTTGGTTGCTGTCTTTTGGCTGCCCGTTCGGATGAAGAATAGGAGAAGACAGGAAAGTTGAAAATAGAGTCGAACAGAAAGTGGAGAATTTCAGTGGGAGGGAGTAGAAACATTTAGTATTTATTGATTTGTGTCGAGATGAATGTGAAACCCAATTACTGACAGTTCAAGAATGAGGGTTCTTTAATCCCTGCTTCATCTTAAACGTAATGAGACCATCAGAACCCCCTGCCGTACTACAAAGTAGTGTGACTGGAACAGATCAGTTGCACAAATGAATATACTCCAAAAGAAACAGCATCTTATCACTGTCACCGTGCATTCTCCGACTGATGCCAACAACAACCAGGGAAAATTAAAAAAAGGAAATGTCTAAAAAGCATGCAATGTAGAACACTATTCTGATCGTAAACTCACTCCATAATGTCAAAGCGAGGAACCCAATAAGAAAGAGTGCAAAAAGAAAACAGCAAGGAATATCCGTGCATGATCTGAAATATAAGGAAAAATAAGCCAATTCTGGCATAAGTAGAACACGATAAGATTGTATATAGTTAACAATTACTTTACTTGCCTTATATATATATATATATATCACCAGATGGCGAGCAACAACCAGAATAACAGAACACGAAGGGTTCGGATAAAAGGCAGAGTAAAAAGGGGTCAAACAGTTAAGTTTTTTTTACCGTACACTTTTGAGGTTATTTGTGTTCTAGTTTATTTTCGTTTTCTTTTATGGAGCAGCATTCACGCCAGTGACTTTTATTCTGGGCCTTATCTCTCAGCGTCAATAACTAAAGACAATCCTCATCCCTTGGGCCCCAACCTGGAAGGCGGGCTGCACCAACCGAAGCCAAAGCTGAAGCTAACTTCTTCATACCTGTCCGCTAGATCCGACCGCCTCGACGTTTCTTCCAGCCTTGTTCAGCACGTGCAAAAGGGCACGGGTCTTATGTGCTTTGCCACTCCAAGTCCCGGGGCTTAGGTTACCGGTTTCCATGACAGAGCAGCAGGTCTTCGTGACTATGGGGTTTACCCCGTCTGCTGTTCAACACATAAGTGTGTGTAATAAAAAAGGTCCCGCGCGACCGCAAAGCAGAGCTTACTTACTTTTAAGATTACCGTATTAAAGAATCCATCAAACTAAACACAATATAAGGTACATATCAACATAGAAATGATAAATAGGATTTGGTATATTCAAATGCATCAATTGGACGTGATTTGTATTCTAAGATAGGTGCAACGGAAGTAAATACGGCATGAACGAGAGTTATTTGTACTAGTCAATGTAGTTATTCTTGTGAGCCTGACTTTTTCTGTTGTTTCTTCTGCTGTTGTTGTCGTTGCTGTTTGACTGTTATTATGACAAGTTGGCTCTTTCTATTTCCCAGATAGTTGTTCGTTAATGGGGTATATAAGGCCTTAGAGACAGAACCCTTTCGTTTTATTTGAAGCTCCATCACAATTCAGTCATCGTATTATCCACGGAACGATTCCGTGGTCCAGAACATTTTGACGCTAACCCGAATTCTTTAGAAGTTTCAAATGTGAAATTCGTCGTGTATATGGCAAATGAAAAGTGAACTGAGAATCTAGGAAGCACTGGAAAGCTGTTTCGACCTGGTTAAGTCTCATCAGCAGTGCGAATCCATCGACCCAACTGGGGATCGGACCCAGGACCTCATGGGCAGAACGCAAGCGTGCTACTCACTCGGCCACCGGGCAGCTGATCAGACCGTTTTCCATTTTCCACCTTTAGAAGTTGCTGACATCTGAATTCACTATTTTTCTCGAATTAATTGAACTACAAACAGATAAAACTCTCATCAACTATCTCACCCCGTACGTTATTCGTCATGTAACAGATTGTGCCAGCTATGAGACCGCCATGTCAATTCTTCACTTTATGTTTGGTAAAACGATCAGAGTACTCCGATACGTCGACTGTCATTTTGAATGCATAGATGCATAAGGTACAAGCTTTGTTTCTCCATTTTGGTAAGCGCTTTGCATTCTCAAAGTGAAAACCAATGTTGCAAACTGCATATCTACTTTGTTCTGTTTTGAAACCATATGAACTAATTGACTGAAGTTGGTTGCTTCTTCTATCCATGTGGCTCTTCATGACAAATCACGGTAGAACAGTGAATTATCGGCACGCAGCGAAGCAACATGCAATGGACTGAAACATCTTTTGGCGACGATAAAATGTTTCAATGAAGCATAAAAATCGTTTGTTATGCCAAAGTGCCGCACTTTGATCAGTTTGACTACATCGTTTTGAGACCTTGAACTTGCGAGGCGCAGTTTGCTGCAGACAGAGTGGAGGAAACGAGCAAGTAAACCCAGGTACGGCGTATTGCACCGAGCCGCGTATTTCGCTTTACAGTGATGATTGTGATCATCATCATCATGCCTTATCTGCAGTTACAGATTCAGCGTGCAGAAAATCTAATGGAGGTTAACAGGTAACAAGACATACAGAATCATACAAAAGCATTAGTTAGAACAAGTGTTTCACGTCTTCTAGGTTATGGTTCAAAAGATCCTGAAACACAACAGCGAACCAGTAGCAATGGGGTCTTTCATGTAACTTCTTATCAGTCATTTCTCATCGGGTCGAAGAAGCGTATATGCTCAGTTAGATTAGGTACTCTGTATGGACACTGAATGAACCATGAACCTGACAGTGTTCAGCACAATTCATTCCAAGGAACTTTGCTGGACGGTGGTGGGGAAGTTTTCCCATATTTCAATATGATGAATAGACAAAACTAATTTATCCACTTTTGCGCGAAAAGACAGCTAGAAATGCTCACACAGGTTTTCGTCAACCTTTTTGTTTTCGTCTTCTTTTGACCCATGCATGCCCGACTTGAAGCCTAGACACGAACAAACTATGCTGATTCCTTCAACCGAAAAAACTGAACAGATGAAACCGTCCCAAAACATGCCACTGATTCGTGTACATATGGAAACTGCAATCTGGTGATCATCGTACAAGAGCCCCGCATATTTCAGTGGCTAAGATAACCTTGAACCGGGTCATCAAACTGTAGTGAAGACACGGGCGCAATCATTTTGATTTCATTGTGAGTCGTGTGCATGTCTCACTGGACCTTTTGATTCATGGTTGCTTTTTGTATTTTCCCTGTCCTGCAGGTCGCTTGGAAGCCCCCTCCACGGAGAACCTACTGTGAAAGGTGTCTCCTACCTGTATATTGAGAGAGTCAGTGAGTGGCCAGGGATTGTGTGGCCTTTTGTGAAGATGCTAATCGTATATGAACTCGAACTGCGTTGCCCAGAATCAATCCGCCAGTGTATTTCGGGTGGATTCAGAACTGGGGTCGGTCTACATACTACAAAACTATCAAGGTCACTTATGATTTTCGGTTATGTATCGTATATCTCACGATGGGACACGATATTGTAATAATCTCTCGATCAACCAGTTTGTGTTCGCATTGATTTCTTCGAAAACAAAATAACTAATTCAAATAGCATCCAATCCGGAGAATGAGATGAATCCAGTTCACTTGTCAAAACTAACCTTCGATTCACAGGCCCCGAAAAGTTGCTTTTGACGGATCCTGGAAAGAAGAATCACAGAATACGAAGGATTACTTTGAAAGGGCTACCGATAGATGAGCTTCCAATAATTTTTGTAAATGCAAGTATGAAAAACCAAAACATCCGATCACTCGAGAAACGAAGACAGGGTTTTCGGACGGACCTGGGGTGCCTATTTTAAACCAGATATGGCTTCAGAGTGCAGGGTCTATTCCAGTCGCCGAAAGGCGATCAGATAAAAAAATGGATGAGAGATAAATGAGTTCATTTAGGATGCTGTGCATCGTTGTTAGTGGCGGAGCTATGCGGAAAAGTGTATCTACACGGCGTGGGAGATCACGCCATTATTATTATTATCGTCATCATCATCATCGTACAGCGAGATACAGTGAAGCGAACTTCACTGATCGCTGTCAGTATCATGCCATTATAATCATGGACTTGGGTTAGGCTACTCAAAATTGATGCATGGTTTACTGGGAGGTGTGGAAAAGGTAGTTAGTTCTCGTGTTGATGTTCCGGAATAACCTTTTCCCACTCAACAAGTCGGTCAGATAACCTCATCGAGACCATCACAATGAGACTGTACCATAAAGTGGTGTAATGTTTTGCGTGCTTCCATGACCCTGTGAGCCACACATGATGATGCCTCACAGCTGCAGATAAAATCATGTCATAAAGGTCAACGTGTACAGGCCAGGCAATGCAGTCTCACAAGACCAGTTGATTGGACAACTTCTGGCTTCCTTTAACTATCAAACCTGTTTTCAAGGAATATCATCCCCATAAACAAACAGGCGGAGCAAATTTCTGATAAAAAACGCTAGATGGACGTAGGAGTTAGGTGACTGGGACTTGCCTCCGAAAGCCTCAGTATGGTCGGGGGTGGGTTTCTAGGGTTGCGGTTGGTCATTCTTCTCTTGCACCTCGCGAAATGTTTCCGTATGACCAAGCGTCTCAAATAGCCTCTACTGAAGAAGCCCTACTCAATGCCTTTCCGTCACGGGGGTGTTTTCCCGCCAAAGTGAGAGGATGAAAAACCGGTATCCGGGGCTATAACCAGGTTGGCGGACCACCGGTA